GTCCAATGAACCTAGAGAGAGAGAAAATAAACAATATGATCTTCAAATAGAAGTCAGCATTCTAATATTGATCACTAGTGTAGACTGATCAGAGTAATCTCAAATCTGTGAAAATTTCATTTCAGAAAGTAATATAGATCATGGGATTATGAAACAACAATAAAAATTAATTGGCGCTCCGGAGCGACTTCTTTGATTCCAGGGGCTCATTTGCTCTTTCAGCTGCAGGAAAACCCGGAAAAACCTGCAGCACCACATCATTTGAAGATCTTGATCTGCCAATGTCCTCTCTTCCATGAAACGAAATGAAGAGTGTCGCCAGATGCTCCAATAAATTAAATACACCACCAGAACACTTACTGACACAACTATCGTCAAATTTAAACCAGTCCATTTCATCTTTGACCAAGACGTAATAATGACCAGATTCAATGCCAGAACTACAGTGAACAATGACTGTATGAAGATTTTGATAGTGGTCTGCTAGATTGAAGTGTTCATCTATTCCGTACCTTCGTAGGAGTTTGGTGCTTACGTCAGAGGTTGAGTCATGTTTGAAGATCATCAGTGTTATTATTAGATTGACTGGTGCCTCAGCTATACTTGTTTCCTCATAACAGTCAGTTAGTTTGGCACATGTTTGGCAATACAGTCGATCATCACCTGTTAAAAGTTCCATTTTCAGATAATAATAATAATAATAATGACTTTATTCACATTACAATGAAAATGATTAAATTCACATCAATATATAAAATAGACATTACAGAAAACGTGAAAAAAGTAGGAAAGCGATAAGTGTAACACACTTATCGCTTATTAAATTTAAGACAATGAACTTTGGCTACTCTTGATAAAAATTTTGGGAAAAGGCAATAATAATGTCTTTTTGCCATGGTGTCTTCATTCTATTAAATTTTGAGTAAATTTCCTACCAGCTGTTAACAAAAATTTTTTCAATTTTTTTTTGAATAATGCTGGAGATTTAATATTTTTTAATATCTTCTGGTATGCTATTATAAAGTTTAATGGCTATAAAGGAGTGAGCTCTTTGTGAGATTGACTTTTTCAGTATCACGGGGTATGTTAATTTTTCGCAGTGACGTGTAGAGTATGGGTGATCACGAGATTTGAACTAAAATGGTATTTCACGCTTGTACTGAAAGAAAACAACTGTCGCACATCCAAGTTTCCACACTCTTTATACAAACGCTCTGTTGAAAATCGCCGATTTTGTGACATTATGAGTTTGAGGAATCTCTTCTGTAACGTTTCCAGAGGTTTCATATGTACACGTAGAGCTGATCCCCAAGCAGTTATTCCATATCGTAAATGACTCTCAACAAGGGCCGTATATAAATGTTTCAGTTCGTTGAAAGGTAAATATATTTTCAGAACCCGAAATCTGTAGAGGACTGTTTGGAGTTTTTTTATAATATATCTGATGTGGTAATCCCATTTTAGATGTGTGTCAATATATACGCCTAAGTATTTCGATTGTTTAACAGACTGAATTGTTATTGTATGGTTTTGTGTAGTCAGAATATTGAGGTTATCATAAGGACAGGCATTAGATGCATTGCAACTGAAAGGAAGAAAATTCGTTTTCTCCACATTTACAGTCATGAGTCTGTTATCAAGCCACAGTTTCAATAGTTGGAAATCTGCCTCCACCTTTTCTTTCAATTCATGCCAACTGTCCGCTTCATAAAATACGGCAGTATCATCCGCATATCGTATTATGGTACCCACGCTATTTATTTTAAATATATCATTTATATAAAGGTTGAATACTAAGGGGCCCAACACTGTGCCCTGGGGAATTCCACATTTAATGGGGAATTCCACATTCAAATAATTTCGAACATATACGTCTGACTCCATTATTGTTCAGTGTTTGTAATAGTAATTGGTGGTCAACCGTATCGAAAGCTTTTTTTAGGTCGATTAAGAGGCAAAGTGAAGGTTTTCCTTTTTCTGAGGATTTGTGTACTATTTCTGTTAGTTCAAGTATCGCATCTTCGGTAGATGTTTTTCCTTTGAATCCAAATTGTTTGGTCGAAATAAGTTTATATTTATTGATAAATGAACATAATCTTTTCTTCACTAATTCTTCGAAGATTTTTGAGAGGTGGGTAATAAGATGATTCAACAATAAGCTTTGCACGGACTGGGTATTATTCATATTAGGAAACGCTAGTTGAAGTTTCAGAAATTCACATCCGTTTCTGCTACCTCTTGAACATTTACTTCAAAGTAAACAAGTGAGGATTTCACCAGCAAGAGATTTACAAACACAAGACAAGATAGACTGTACGGAATCATTCAATCCAGAGAGGTCGGGAGTATTGATTCTGCTAGTGTTTTGCTCACGAAGAGTATTCAACAAGAACCCCAAGAACCCCTCTTGTATTTACGAGTATTTAGTGGACTTCAAAGACTCCATGAAATCGGTTGGAGGGAAAGATGATACATTCATACGAAACTGCAGCTGCATGAACAGGTGTTTGAGTTTGGTGAATACGTAGGAAACATTCTTGTTTTCGTTCATCATTGAAACCTCGTTCGAAATTCTTCGTCATGAACAACACTTTTAAAATGCTATTCATGTAGCAAGTGTTTCCTAAAGTATCTAGTCAAATTTTCTTGTCAAGGTTTCCAGTACAACTCTTTACTGATTCGTAATGAAGAACATGTTTCACATATCTAAGTTAAAATTGGCAAAACGGGTTTCTTTGTGTTCAGATTCTCTCCCAAACCATATAAAATGACTCTAATATCTTGCCCTGCTCGAGAGCTCAGAGGTGGGGGATTGTACGTCCGCCCTGTATGATGGAATGAATTCCATTCGAAGCAGCTTGTATATTGCAACCACGAAGCACTTGTTACTGTCATAATTTTTGGAAACTGATAGATTAGAAGTGCTCTCAAACACACTCCCAGATCGCGATGAACCCACAGAGTAACGAACAGGTCACCGCCACATTAACAGTTTCATTATCTAACTAAAAGGGAATTGTCGACTCAGGCAACTCAATTACCTTCAACACAATTGATAATGCATTACCTACAAGTAGAACAGCAATCAGTGAATCTCTTGTGTTCCCGCCCTTCAGAAAAAACTAAATTACTCCCTTGTGATTAGTAACGTTTTTTAAGACTATTACCGGCAGCCTATCCGACAGTTCCTCCCATTAGTAACGGCAATTTCTCAGCGGAAAGTACTCCCACCTGATTGTTTTCGATAAGTGAAATTTCTTTGAGGAAAACCTTTCTTTTCGGAGCTTTACCATCATTAATAAAAATGATTTTGCGCCTAATTGTCTTCGTGTTGGCTGCCGGTCGATGCGAAAGGTAAATCTCCGCTTAATGATTCTTCATCGCTGTTGCGAAAGAGGAAGCTGAAAACGGTGGCAGGTGTGGGATTTTTCAGGAAAACGTAAAGGTTCGTATGTTGTTTCAGTTCTACATCCACTGTTGGGTGATCCGATGATGACTTTGATTTTTATGATTATACAGAGTGGGCCAAATTGCACACTTTTAAAAGGAAACTCCTGTTTTCAAACTGGATAGATGAAAACTGATGGCTGTGTCTCAAGTTCAAATATTATGGCAGACACAATGGTGAAAACCGCATATCCATATCTACCATCGTTTCTGAGTTACAGCATGTTTTTCGAACCAGTTTTAAATGAGAAAACAACTCATGTCCAGTAGTGTGTCCTTTCAGTGGAATAAACTTCAAAAGATCGTCCTCAATCGTAAAATCACTAAAAACCATCCTGACGAACACGGCCATCTGGGCAGTGACAACGACATCTATTGATTCATCCAGTTGAAGTGAAAAATAAACACAGTTATCTAAGTCAGTTCTTAACTGTAAAAAAATACCATTGCTCATTACTTTTACACGTCTCATCACTGTATTAGCAGAAAGTTGCATAGATTTTATAGCTGAAACTATCTCGTCTTTATTTCTAAAGTTGGCAAATAACGAATCAGCAGCTTTTAAAAACGCCCATTTTATCATTTCTCCGTCTTCATAAGGTTTATTTTTTTGTGCAATTATCTAGGACACACGGTACGATGCTTCAGTTGCAGCCTTATTTTTGTCGACTGTTCTTGAAAATATTGATTGTTGTCCAATTAACTGCTTTTTTAACTGTTTCAGTTTCTCCTTTCTGGCGGCAGAATGTAGTGGGAATGATTTTTCAAAATTAGAATGTACAGTTTTATGATGTCTCTCAATATTTCCTTTTTTAGCAACGTAGACCGAAGTATTACATAACAAACACACATTTTTATCTTTAACTTCTGTAAAAAAGTATTGTTCTTCCCATTCCGAATGAAAGTGGTATGTCTTTACCTTCTTACAACTGCTTGCCTCAATATTATTTTTGTTGTTCTCTACTAACCTAACCGCTAGACGTTGGTTACGCGTTCAGTTTTAAACTAAGCGCAATGTCGCCGCGCCGTGCGTATTTATCCCGTTCAAAGCAATCCAGATCGTTCTCGAACACTAACGCGCTGGTCCGGCTGGTCGGTTCTAGCCGATTCTAGCTTGATGGCGTCAGCGGCAGATCGCTCACCGCAACGTTGCCGCTGTTTATGTTTAATATTATGACAATTAGATTTTTTTGTGGAATTTTCGGAAGCTTCTCTGATTTTTGCAGTTTGTATTTTTTAAATTAAAATCGTTGTGAGACCTATCAGAATTGCCTCCGCGAGCTACCGGTAGCTCGCGATCGACAGTTTGGCGACCACTGGTTTATTGTATAAGTTTGAGAATGTCCATATAGGACGAAACTGCAGTAACGTTAGTTACAAATAAAAGTGGTAAAAAACATAGAAATTTTCATTTCTCTTTTCAATATCTTTCCCATATTGTCTGTCGTACCATATGCCTGTCACAATTAGCAATTTCTTGATGAAATGATGTTTTTCAAAAAGTGAACGTCTATTTCCAATGAATTGACTTTCAACATCAACTTTTGTTTCAGCAATCAAATATCATCGCTGCTGGGAGACTGGTCCCGACTAAGACCAACTGTCGCAACGCTTTTCCTGGGGGAGAACGACATCACAGAAATTCCTGCTGACCCACCAGACTACGAATCAAAAACTCACCACGGCCTAAGTCAGTTCAAATCACTTATATGGCTCAATCTGGATGGCAACAGAATTCACAAAATACACAAACAGTCTCTTCCAACGACCGTTCAAACCGCGAGCATTTCTCACAACCTAATCGAAACTTTTCCGTCGGATCTAGTAGGGACGCTACCTCGCCTACAGTGGTTGTATCTACGAGGAAACCACATCAAATCCATTCCGGATCACACGTTCTCTAGGCGGCTGTGGATGGAGAAGATAGACCTCGGCGAAAACTTCCTCAAGTCTCTTCCGAGATTTCCCTTCAATAACTCCATCTGTATTAGGGACATTAACTTAGCACACAACGACTTCAGAACGCTGACACCAGAGAGCTTCGCTGGGTTGGAAACCAGGAGAATAATCCTCTCGTACAACCTGTTGGAGAATTTAGACGTCCGTGCCTTCGCTGGCATTGACGAATCTCTCGAGTATCTTGACTTCGATCACAACAACTTCCGGCATATCCCACAAGCTGTCAGTCAATTGAGGCATCTGAAATACCTCTATTTATCGTCGAACGCTTTGAGTGAAATACCTGACGCAGCCTTCAACAACTTCTGCTCCAGTCTCAAGGCCGTAAGCATCAGTGGGAACAGATTGACGAAGATACCGACCAAAGCTTTGTACAATTGCACGAAGCTCTTTCACTTCAACGTGGCTTTCAATGAAATCGATGAAATCGTAGAAGACGACTTCACCAACTGGGCTGTTAACGTCAGAAGTTTGATTCTCGGAAACAACAGAATATCACAACTGGAAAGCAGGGTGTTCTTCCAGCTGAAGGAGTTGAAAGAGTTGAGTCTTAGTTTCAACCCGCTGCTCCACATCGATAAGGAAGCTTTCACTGGTTTGGACAAGCTGGAGAGCCTAGAGCTGTCCTTTTGTATGGACCCTGACTTTAACTTCGAAAGCATATTCAGCCCTCTGGTCAGCTTACAGTGGCTGTCACTGGATAACAATAATATCCAGGTGCTTCCAGACGATCTGTTTGAGCCCCTCACTCATCTAAAATACCTCAACCTGGAGTCTAATAAGCTGCGATCGATACCCAATAATCTCTTCAATAACCTTCCTGAGTTAAAGGACGTAAGACTATCAAACAACGAAATAGTGTTCATAAAAACTGGAACGTTCCGGTTGCTCAGTAACTTGGAATCCATCACGCTATCTGGAAATAATATAAAGCACATCCAACGGGAAAGTTTTGAACATCTACCAAGTCTTAAAAACCTGATACTTTCCGGAAATCACTTGGGGCATATCAATCACGATGCCTTTCTGAACTTGTCGTCATTAGGAAAAATTGACCTGCAGAACAATCAGCTAGGGTCACTTAGCTTCAAATATTTCGCCAATGCAACAGGATCATTGGTTCTCAATCTGACGAAAAACCACATCAAGTCATGCAGTTCCGATTCCCAAACTCTCGACGTAGAGGTTCTGGATCTGCGGTACAACAGGTTGGGAGGTGTTCCCAAATGTCTTGAACACGCAGTAGGATTACGGAAGCTTTTTCTGGATTCCAATTCCATACATTCTCTGGAACACAACGCTTTCATGCATTTGGTTCAGTTGGAAGTACTGAGTCTGAGGATGAATAATATAGGAACTGTTAGCAGGAAATCTTTTTTTGGTTTGCAAAACCTACAAGTGCTTGATCTATCGAAGAACTTCATTGCGCAGTTGCACACGAGTCAGTTCGTTAGCATGCCAAATTTGCGTGTTTTGAATCTCGAAGAAAACCGATTAAGCTACCTACCGAGAGATGTTTTCAGCAACACGCTTCTGGAAATGTTGGATTTGAGTTTAAACTCTTTCTCAGTTGTCCCAACATCAAGCATATCAGACGTGGGAATCACCTTAAGGCATTTATCCATACGGTCCAACAATATCGAACACGTGGATATCACAACATTTCCCGACGTCCCGTCCTTGCATCACCTTGATATGAGTGATAACAAACTGACTATACTTCCCGATAATGTGTTTACCAGCCTGGGGTTGTTGCAATTCCTCGACCTCAGTTTCAACCCGCTCCGCTCTAACTTCAAAGAGTTGTTCCATTACGCACAGAGCCTCAAGCACTTGGATCTTTCGAATTGTGGAATAATTTCCACGCCACATTTTCCACTGCCGAACTTGATACACCTGAACTTGTCGCACAATCAGATAGAGAGCGTGGGAAAGAACTCGATACAGCAGTTGGTGAAGCTGAAGTCCTTGGATCTGAGCCACAACTATCTGGATCATGTTCCCGCGCATTTGTGGATGCATCTGCCAAATTTGAAGATCCTGAACTTGTCGAATAATCCGATTAAGGAGTTGATAGGAGAAAGTTTCGCTGGGATGCAAGCTTTGCAGGAACTAACTTTGCTCAATTTGAACTACTTGAACAAATTCGAAAGCGAGAGTATCCAACAGCTGAAAGTACTGTCCAAGCTGACTTTAGAAACTTGGCCCAAGCTCGATCACTTTGCTGACCAGTTCTGCAATCTCTTGTCTCATCTAGATCAGCTGAGGGTACTCAAAATTGTCTTTTCCGAAACCAAAGTGGACGAGCAACTACTCTGCGTCACTAACAGAAAAATAAGGTATCTGGAGATTACTGGAAGGAATTTGAGAAGTATCGACAGAGATGCTTTCGCTAGGTTTACTAGGAATCCGGATTTAGTTCTGTCTATTCATGGAACACAAATTGAAGAACTTCCTGCTGGGCTATTCGCGAATATGTACAAGATTGCCTACCTGAAGATTGATGTTAGTTTCAACTCTTTGTCTCATTTGAGTCCGGAAATATTTTACGGAAATTCAAGTGGATGGAGAAATGTTGGGACAACGCTGATATCAGGTGAGTTGAATGTTGAGGCTGTCCTCCTTTGTAGGCTGTTTCAATTCAGCAGCAGTTGTTGAACTACAGTTCTGGTAAATATTTCACTTGGGGAATTGATCAGACCTATAATTTCTATAATTGTATAGTACTTGAATATTTTTACTACGGTCTGAGAGTAGGGTCTATAAACCTTCACGTAGTTTCAAGTCAGTTCTACTATTCGAACGGACAGATGATCAATCATAGAGATGATTGGGAGCAGGGAAAACATTACTCATAGACGTATTTCGAGGAATTGAGTGGATCCTGTTGGTTGGGATCAATTAACTGGAAGTATTGACTACAGCATCGCTTGAACTCATTTTATATTGACTCAGCTGCCTTTCAGTAACCAACAAAATAATCAGATACGTGGAAGAATCAACAGAGGAGTCACCTCAGTATTTGGGTCAGGTTAGAGCCTAATCACGGCGAGTTAGTTTCAAAAGTGGTAGTGATTGCCTGGCCCCGATCTTTCCTGTATCTCACTATTGCTAATGCACTCGATGGTGGATCACTTCCAAAAGTGAGATAATCTAGAGCGATTTTCTGGTCCCAATCTATTCTGTATCTCACCATTACTATTATCCGATGAACTCTCGAGGGTAAGAGGTTATACTGGGCAGTATAACTGTGGCACGTTCAAAGGAAGATATATAATCACGGATTTGTCTCTGGAGAAAAGGATCTTGAGGATGGTGGAAGAGTAATTGCATGCTTTCGGTATGAAATTCGGGATAGAGAAATGTGCAACGGGCCATCGTCAAAGAGGACGATGGGGGTGTCTCGGATATTGTTGCAAATCATGCCCTAAAGAAAACAACGCCGGCCGCCACTGGCAGACATAAACCAATTGTGACGTAGCTAAAAGAGCGAGAATGTTCGCTACCATTCTAGATGTAGCGAGAATAATGCTACCGGTTTCGATGGAATTCCGAGGAATGTTCCGGCGCTTTCGATTTACAAATATAAGTGCCATCCACTCGCCCATCGAGACAGTCAAGTGGAAGTGACAGTGTGGTACGCGGAGCGATCTAATGAGGCGATAGGCATTCGAATAATAGTTGAAGTTTAAGTTGAAGTATTTTGTTGTATTAGAAGTGAAATTAAGTTGAGTTTGATTATTGTTCAGTGTAGTCAATTATTGGTCAACCCACGGGGAAAAACGTAACGTTTTGTGGTGAAAACAAGGAGCGTCGAGTACGACAGGATGGAAAAGCTTGAGAAAATATTTGAGGCCTTGCAAGCGGGCCTGGCGGAAAAGGAAAATCGCAGAAGAAAGAAGATGTACGCAGGAGAGAAAAAGAGAGAAAAAGAACTATTAAATTGAAATGAAGAAGATGAACGAAGAAGAGAGGAAGAAAGATAAGGCCGAAATGAAGACCGTGAATTACTACTAAATATTCTGGAAAAACAAGAAAGGAAGAGAGAGGAATATCATAAGTTATTGGTAAATATTCACATAAAAGACAATAAGATGTACCTTTATTCATTCGAAGATTTGAAATCGTCCCAAGTGAGTAAAGGGAAGGTACAGGAATTGATTCAGGAATAATTTCGAAAGAGGAATTGAAAAGAGTAGTCGATGAGAAGTTTGATGTGGTTGAAAGGAAATTTGAAGAGGAGCTTGAAGGAGTCAGAAGAAAATTTGAAAAAAACTTGAAGGAGTCGGAAAAAACTGAAGAGGTTTTTTTTGGAAATTGCGGAAAGGAAAGAGTCACGGGAACATAGATAGACTCTCAAGGAGACCATACCTGACATCCGGATGCAAATTTTGTCAACGCCAGGTGGACAAGGATACCCAGCTACCAGGAGAAGAACTTTCCACCAAACGTGACAAGATGGCGGGCAGAGACTTCTTTATGAACAGCTCTGATAGGGAGATAAGCTGAGGAATCACCTGACCACGGTGTGGTACGGTGACTGGTTAGTCATCACCCGTAGGCATAATCAAAAATGACCTTCAACGCAATGGTTACTCCAAAGCGATAGTGGAACAGACTTTGGCTAGAAGACAGCAAGATCATCACAAGGAAGAGAAGCCGCCACAACCAGTACAGAGGACCTACATCAGAGGATTGTCGGAAAGGATAAGATGAATTGGGTCCCAGTATAACATCAGAACCTGCATCAGATCTAGGAACACTATCCGTAGCAGCCTCACGAAAACCAGGCCACCAAACGTACACTGCGATTCCAATAATTGCATTTACCGGATACCCTGCGAGTGCGGTGAATCATACATCGGTGAAACTAAGAGGCCATTGAAAGTTCGCATTGCCGAGAACAGGAAACACACACAGCGAGGAGAAACCCGCAAATCAGCAATAGCAGAGCATATTGGGACTCATCAACAATCAACTGGTCTCAAGCTGAAATCATCCACAAGGAAATCATTTTTTATAGATTCTTTCAGGGATTTCGAATCAATTTATATCATACTAGTTGTTGCCCGCGGCTTCGCCCGCGTAGAATTTGGTAGTTGTAGTACTAATTAGTACTATGTTGCTGTATCTCTGCTGTTCCAATGTTTTGACAGAATCAGAATCAACGAACTCAGGCGTGCGCAGCGTTATAGAACAGTGCTTTCAAAAAAATTGTTCCACAGCGCCATCCAGTGACGAGATACAGAAAAATTGATAGCCTGAAAACCTTCTGTATGAAAAATTACTTACACATGTCAAGTTTCATCACGATCGGTTGAGCGATGTAGAAGTTTATCACTTACCAACCAACCAACCAACAAACATCCATTTTTATATATTAGATCAGACAATGAAAGTCCCAACCAATGAAATAATCATTGTATTTTGTATGGTAAGTCTATATACAAATAATACATACGGCTCAAAATGGGAAAGGAATTGAACAAACCTAGTATGATACTGCTACCTTAGGGTAGATGGCGCTAGTTGCATCTAGTATTCATTAGTTGAAATGTGAAGTGTAAAAACGAGTGTTTCCAGCCGGTTAGTTAGGGAAGCCACAGATTATGCTGTAGACGACCCCTCCCGATATAGAAGGCCCCGACACTCTGTCGAATGAGGCCCTCATGTCCCCCGTTAAAGGATGAATAACTTTTTCATCCATCCCACCCCAGCCAGGTAGGGGTATCCCGTGAAGGGCGGCACTGATGTCTAAGGACTTCATGCCGTCATCCATCAGTCATGTACCCATTGGTCCATCTCAAGGCCAATGATCAGCCAAAAGGGTAGGGGAGCTGGTCTCCAAATCCTGAATGAAATGAAGATGATCGTCAATACTAAAACTCTTATTTCCAGGGGGCCTAGTCATCTCCCAAAACCCCTTCCGGTGCGGCTGCCACCTGGCGTGGCTCGGCCACTGGTTCCGGAGGTGGATCAGAGAGAGCTTGCAGTCCTACAACGCACCCGTGGAGGCGGTCATGCGAATGTATGCCATCGTGAAGGCATCCACCTGCGTGGACATCGCTACGGGGGGCACCGTCCCAATCGTGGAGCTACCGCCCGAAGACAGCAGTTGTCACGCAAGCGCGTTGAGTAACGCGGCCCCGTCGAAAGAAGATTCTGTGATTTTTATAGTTTTGTTATTGTTTCTCATCGGTTTTGGCAGGTAGTCGATGTAGGTTTGTAAGTAGGTTTGTAAATAACGTTGTTAGATTTTTATACGGCAGTATTATTAGCATAGTTTATTCTAGTTGATTGTTATAGAAATATTGACTTGTTCTCATGTTCCTAAGTCGTCACTCTTCGAAAGACTTTGAAGCAGAGAAACCTGTAATATCCATTACATTTTATCTAATGAAATTCTTTCTCCTTTTGAACTTCGACGAACATTCCGGCGGCAATTATGATTTCTGCAATGCCTGTGGAAGTAGACAGTTCTCATAGTTTTCTACTCTTCACTGGAAGCACCCTGGATTACCTAGTCCGGTCAATTTAGACATTCGAAGCTACCTAAATTCCCACAAGCTGAAAATCAGTAAGATTGTTTAAAATATGATTGAAAATGTATGGAAAATTTTTTTTTCAAGATCAAAGGTCAAAAAATTAAATTTTCGCGATTTTCAGCAAAACGGTAAGTTTTATAATAAAAATACTTCAGACACAAATTGTAGTTCATAAAATTATCTACCAAAAATATGTCAGTACTTTTTTCTTACGGTCCACTGTTTTTGAGATATAACTATTCAAAAAGTTGTAAAAGTTGTAATCGTCATAATATGCACACGCCACCTGTGAGTGTACTTAGCGCATTTTTTAAAGTAGTTTCCCCAGTAGGCCTATTCCACAGGTCAGTTGTGATCCTGTTTAACTTGAAACTAATGCAAAATAATGGATATTAGCAGAGATTGAAAAAATATAAGCAATTTTAGTTTTAAAAAAGTAGTGAAATTGATTTGTCCAAAGTCTCAACTTTCAAATTCTTCTTCTTGTTCTTGATCGTCTTGTTCTTGTTCGTCTTGTTCTTCTTCTTCTTGTTCTTCATTCATCTTTATGAGTTCATGTAAATTGCGTTAATAGCGATGTATCACATGTCGCCTCGTTGGAATCAAACGGATCCTCCACTGTTGGTATTTCAATATTAAAGCATTGGTAATATACCAATATATATATATATATATGGAGGAAGACAAGGTAATTATATTTGTTTTTTACTTCTGGTATTTTTAACGAAACATGCAAATCTATACTTATCTAAACAGGTAGTTTTTTTTAGGGACTCCGTACATAGAAAGAAGAAAGCGAATGCCGTTAGTGATAATTTATTATCGAGTTGAATTGCTATTTCAAAAAACTTCAGCATATTGAACTAAATTTTGTTTTTTAAACATTTTTAAAACTGTTATTCAACTGTCATTTTACCTGATATCCTTATAGTTATAACTTATGTATATTTTATATTATGAGTGTAAGTTACAATGACCGATAGAAAAATATTTTAACATATATTACGACTACAGAGATGTATATACGTGGCGTCCTCAAGCATATTATGACGATTACAACTTTTACAACTTTTTGAATCATTATATCTCAAAAACAGTGGCTTGTAGGAAAAAATGTTGATACATTTTTTTTTTGTAGATAATTTTATGATCTACAATTTTTGTCTGAAGTATTTTTATTATAAAACTTAACGTTTTGCCGAAAATCGCGAAAAACTGATTTTCTGACCAGTGACCTGAATAAAATGTTTTCCATTCAGTTTAAAGATGGGGAACTTTCAAATTTTATTTTCAATCATATTTTGAACAATCTTACAGATTTTTAACTTAGTGGGAATTTAGGTAGCTTTACTCTTATTTTTTGGTGTAATTTGACCGGACTATACTAACATATAGACATCGATGACACTACAACGTTTTATGGATCAACGTTTCAACTGCAACTGCGGCAGTCATCTTCAGTGGCGAGATCGAAATACTCTTTTTGACATATTAACAGTTTAACCTCCATTTTTTTTACTGATTTTTGTAACTTTCTGTAATAAATTCATATTGAATGAACAGTTTATAGTGTAACTATTTTTCGGAATTGAAAGCCGTCGATTTTCGGAATTTCTTCCTGACGTTTCGCTGCCGTGAGTGGCTAAGTTCATATCTCTGAAGAAGCTAGACACTCGCATCAGCAAAACGTCAGGAAGAAACTTCAAAAATCCATTGCTTTCTCTATATATACAGAAATATAACATCTGAAATATGATTACTAATTAATGATTGAACCCTGATGATCATTGCAGAAGTGTCAAATAATAAATAAATGAAGCAAATCATCTAAAAGGTTGATGGACTGACACCTATCAGAAAATAACTACTCCACTGGCTAATACCACGAAGGGCGTTGGATTATATCCGACAGGTGTCAGTGCAGGATTCTTCACTGAAGTTATTTCTGCGTATGCTGTTGGCGATACAACTGCCGTAATGAATTTTCAATTATTGGAACCCACTTTCAAACCGGTTTCGGGCTATTTGGCCACTCGTCAGTGCAAGATAATGTCTATCATCAACATAAAGTCGATGATTTCCGATAATTGAAAATCAAATTCCTTCAGAGTATCATTCCTCGAAATAGGCTGAAGCGAACAACAAACATGTTTGTCATCGCTCCATCTGCCTGTGAACGAGGTAACCAACTGCATATCCGAAATTTGCCCAATTCCTCGTATAAGGAAAAAAAAATTTCACGTATAGTCAGTCCACTGACTATATGTGAGAAAGTAAATTAATGTTCGTCGAGTTGTGAAAAAACTGATTTTTGTTAAATATCTGCAGAATTTTCTCAAAAGATGGATATTTCACTTAACTTGAACTGATAATTCATAATTTTTCTATTGAATAATAACAATATTGGTAATGAAAAAACTGTTGATTTTTCAGCCAGTTTTTTTCTTCAAAGTACTTGTTAACCACAAATGAAGTATGTACATTTTACATAAGATGAATTTTAATTCAGTATATCTGCTGTTTCTTAAAAACTGTATCATATATTCAAATAAGTAGGAAATTTTGTACATTGAAACATATCATATAATCGAATTATATTCTGAAATTGTTGAAGCGATAGTTTTTTTCAGTTCATGTCCTTACCCTCAATGAATGCTATTATAAAACTGGTGATGCAAAAGTTCCCTAAACTTTTAATCTGAAAATCGCATCTCAAAAATTTGCAAGTCATTCCTCTGTTATTAATCAAATACAAAACAGTCATTACTGGGTGCTCCAACTACAAAAGTTCATGAATTTTCGACGATTTTCAACAAAAGGAGTACATTTGGTTGTGAATGGATGTAGAATGGAGATTGAATTCGTATGAGCTTTGCAAATACAATGTTACATCGGAACTAATAAGCATATGAAGGCGAAAACACTAAAAGTATATGGGATCAATAGAAGACTCCACCAATATCGGAATAACTCTAACCGAAAGAAGTCAAATCGTTACACGGCCAAGTCATGGCAAGGTCATTGAAGTCGAAAAGAATACGCGACGTGCACCCGCTCCAAGTAAGTCGAGTGACTCTCGTGCTAGCTCTGCGGTAGCGCGGTCTCACGTCAATGCAAGATTTATTTCAACAATGTCATCCTCTAACGATAGAACTGATCGAAACCTGATTAAAATCCATTGAAATGTATTAAAAAAAATTACTTCAAAGTGAGATGTCCACTTGAAAGTTTACAAAATCGCGACACGTGTTTCGCTATACAATAGCCAAATGAGGATATGTTTGTTTGTGTTGGATGAAATGCTTTATTCAAATAGAATACAACCTAATATATACAACAATGATAGTAATGTTAACATTAATATACATATAAATACAATAATACAAAAAAGATCTACTTATATTTGTTAATAAGTAGTCTCACCTACGATAATTGAAAATACAAAAAAAATAATAAAAGATGAAAAATATCACACAATACCTTAATGATCTCTTAAATGGTCTAATACATTTCTTTTGAACAGAATAAGACTGTTAGAAGACTTTACATTTACAGGTAGACTGTTATACTTAATAAATCCTTCGAACATTAATGTTTTAGTGTTAAATGTTTTTGTTTGATTATTTACATGCAAGTTATTTTTTATTCTAGTATTATACTGGTGGATTTGATTATCAAAAATTACAAATTTGTTAAAATATGAGGGTAGAAGGTTATGTAACATTTTGTAAATATAAATCATCGTTAAATATGTAAGCCTACTTTCTATAGATAACCATTCTAGAGAATTTAACATTAAAGATATATGAGTACTCCTGTCACATCTCAAAATAATCCTCATTGCGCGATTCTGTAATTTTTGTAGTGTTCTCATTTTATTCAAATCATTTGTGTATAGAAGAGTGGGACAATATTCAAAATGTGGTTGTATAATTGTCTTATATACAGTTATCCGTGACTGCATAGTTAAGTGTTGGGATACTCTTGTGAAAAAATATAATTTCTTCAAAATTTTTTTCTGTATGTAGGTGAAATGGTTATTCATTAATAGATGATTGTCTAACATGAATCCTAGATATTTGAATTCAGTGATGAGCTCAATTTTATCATTTTCTATTTTTATTTCAATTTGTTTCAAATCTAATTCTCCGTATTTAAACGGTGTAGTAAGTATTATAGCCTTTGTTTTGTTTACATTTAGCTTCAATTTATTAGTTTTTAAATATAAAGCAATATCATGCAATGCTTCATTCATTTTTCAATATCTTTATCACTGACCGATACTAGGGCATCATCAGCGAAATAATGTTTATATTCACATTCATTACATTTGCTGATATCATTCATGTAAATTAAGAATAGTAATGGCCCAAAAATACTTCCCTGCGGAACCTCGTGGTCTATGCTTATTGCTGTTGATACAAATTCATTGATTTTAGTTACCTGCTTCCTTTCTGTGAGGTAATCACTGATCCAATCAAGTACTTTTCCTTTAATACTATATTTTTTTAATAATTATTTCACGATTAACCGTTTCAAGCGCACGTTTAAGATCTAAAAATACTGCTACAGTATACATACCTTTACTAATTTTATCTTTCCATTCAGTAACTGTAAGCTGAAGTGCTGATTCGTATGAATGTCTGCCTCTAAAACCAGATTGGTTTGTGAATAGTACGTTTTTTCTATTGAAATAGTCCAACAGTTGTTGATATACTACTGATTCTAACAGTTTTTCAGCGCAAGGTAAAGTGTTAATTGGCCGATATTCATCACATTTTTTTGTGTTTGGAATTTTTTCGATAGGCGTAACTGTACTTGTTTTTAGATCACCTGGAAAACTATCATTTTGTAACGAGGTGTTGACAAAATGACACCACACATGTCCAATTACTTCAAAACTACTCTTTAT